AACACACCTACATTAGAAATATTTTTAAAGATAATTTGAGATAAAGTTCTGTCGGTAAAAGTACATTTCGACCCCCCACTCAAAAAAAAAAAGAAAGAAAGAAATGTAAATTTAAATTATAAAGTAAAAATGATGGTACGAATAAATAAAAAAAATAGATACAGAATAATAATATATTCACATATTTCAAAAATTTAAATCACACAGTAGATACTGTACAGTGCCTACTATTTTTAAATCGTTTAGGATTGAATACCTTTTTTCGCTAAAAAAAACCCACACTCCTGTACGGATTTTTTAAAAGCATATCAAAGGCATTAAAAATGTTTTTACTGTTTCGAAGGACACTCAACTTCGGAAATAACCAGACTTTGACAGCCATTTTCTCACCAATTTTACCTCTGACTCCAGACGACCCTCGACATCTTCAATCAAAAATACCACTAGATCTACTTCTATTCAAGCTAAATGGATAAATATTTTCCTCAAAAGCAAATCAGTCGAACAGGATTGAGATAGATGATACCAGTAACTCATTGTGCCCTAAGACTGACGAGCGTCTGATTTCTCCATGTCGTGTCACTGGATTGTTTTTATTGTTTTTGTTTTTGTTTCTGTTTTTGTTTGGAGGTGTGGGTTTAAGCCCTGAAGATGCGAAATTTAAAAAAAAAATCTGTCGTCTGTGTTGAAGCCGGTAAATGCTTCGCTGTTGCGCTCAGGAGACCCGATTCGATTCTCGAATGGGAGGATGATTTTGTCAAGTATACATCGGTCATTCTGCTGTGATGTTGTATTTTTCTCAGCCCAGATTGGCAATGAAAGGCAGAGTCGAAAGCCCATCTAGTGAATGAGGTAAATTGTATCGACATCAAGAAATAAAATTATGTTTAAAAAGAAATTAAAAAGGATGAACTTTAATGTATAGTCATCACTAACCAAACTCCTCAGAGACATCCCTTTCTGATATGTTTACAAGACAAGTTTGAAAAAGCCCAAAGTTCGTTGTAGAGCTAATGAACATTTTATTTTGTGTTGGGTTTTGAGTAGCATAGATATGCTCTCCGAACCTTTTACCATAGCCACCCAAACGTCATTCTCGGGCTAGCTATTATGACGGCTCAACTCCAGGTCATTTCCAGT